ATTTTTTTCGTTGCTACTTGTATGTAACGTAACATTACTGCGTATTATGTACGACCAATGGATGTTGTGTAGGAACTACGGATATTATATATGTTTAGATAAGCAACTTTGGTGAATTATATATAAAAGAAATCATGATATTATATGCCTATCTTTACCTTTTCCTTTAGGATTTCAAATAAATGTTCAAAATAGGGATATATATACACGCACACACACACACACACACACACACACACACACACACACACACACACACATGTATATATATACATATATATATATATATATATATATATATATATATATGTATATATATATATATATATATATATATATATATATATATATATATATAACACTATGTACACACACACACACACACACACACACACACACACACACACACACACATATGTAGTATATATATACATATATATATATATATATATATATATATATATATATATATATATATATGTATATATATATATATATATATGTATATATATATATATATATATATATATATGTATATATATATATATATATATATATATATATGTTTTTTTCCCTTTTAATTTTATATGTATATGGACACACACAGACGCACATATATATACGTATATATAAATGTATGTATATATACATATATATGCATACATTTATATACATAAAAATGGACATATACATATATATACATATATATATATATATATATATATATATATATATATATATATATATATATATATATATATGTATATGTTTATCTATACATATAAACATAAGCATATACATATATATATATATATATATATATATATATATATATATATATATATATATATACATATAAATGTATATATATATATATATATATATATATATATATATATATATATATTTATCTTTATATATATAAAAAATGTATATATGTATATATATACACATATATATATGTATATATATACACATATATATATACATATACATATACATATGCACATATATGCACGCACATATATATGTATATATAGATATGCAAATACACATATATGCACACATATAGATATGTATATATACATATACATACATATATATGTATATATTTATACATATACATATATATATATATATATATATATATATATATATATATATATATATATATATATATGTACACACACATACACACACAGGCACACACACACATACACACACACCACACACACACATACATAT